TGCACAATGGTCGATTCTAAGCACCCCAAGAGATGTGTATGTGTGCAGATCTTGTGGCAGTTTCTGCAGCATTCCACACTCTTCAATTGTTAAATACTCCAGTCTCGTCATGCAAGGCAGCCCCTTATGTTGCTGCTTTTTCGAACCTTCTCCTTCTTTTTCTTGCTCTTCTTCAAACAAGCAAACCAGTTTGGGGCAATTAGAAATCTTCAAATGGCAGAGGGAAGGGAGACATACTTGCATTCTCACCTTATTCCGCCACAATGTTATGAGTTCTTGGCAGTTACTAATGTTCAATGTCTCAAGTCCCATCAAATCTCGAGTAAACCATGTCGGTAGGAACGCCAGTTTTTCAACATGAGAAATGCTCAAAGCAGTTATTGAAGTCAGATGCTTAGACATTTCATTAGCTAGTAACTCTTCATCAGTTAGGCTTGGATTGCAGAGGGAGTCAAGAACTGTAACATGTCTAATATCCAAGGTGAGGGAACCAAGTTCAATCGTGTTCTTCGTCCCTAAGAGTGCTGGAAGGCTTGGGAGCATAACATTATTCATTGACAAGGATGCAAGTGATGGCTGAACGAGGCTCGAAATATCAATCAACAACTGCGGACAACCATCAATTTTGAGAGAATTGAGACAAGGAAGATCATTTGGTAATCTTCCAACAAGTTTGGGACAATTTATGATGGAAAGCTCACTGAGATGACCGAACGGCTGAACTCCCTCTGTTTCAAAAGCAGACCAATCCTCCCATTCTGGCATAAACTCAAAGCTCAGTCTCTCCAGAGAGGGGAAAGGTTTGGCACCACACTGTTGCCCAGAGAACTCACAACCCAAGCGCTTTATTGCGCTCATTCCTTCAATGTAAAGGTCTTTAAGCAAGGGTAGTTGTCCAAGTGGTGGCAAAGATGTGCAACATTTGCTACCTTTTAATCGCATGAACACCATTTTGGAGAACGAAACATCTCCAACCCAGTTTGGAAATTTTGTACTGCCATACCCACAGATGGTGAGTCGTTCCAAAAATATGAAAGGTCTCATCACATCAAGCACATCCCTCTCAACTATGTCATTCTGTGAACTACAAGATTCATCCCATTCTAGTGATAACTCTTTTAAATCTTTATACGTTAAATTGGCATCCCTTGCATCCTTAACACCATTGACATTCTCTAGTCTTGATATGTGTATTGCCCCTCGAATGTGTGATAGGTTTTTCAACTCTCCTATTTTACGCCCACAATCTTTACCCACTAGAAAATTTGACAATGTTTGGAGATTAGTTAATTTACCTATATGTAGTGGCATCTCTTCTGATGATGAAATGTGCACGCCAGTCATGTCAAAATGGCGCAAGTTCACCAGCATCTCCACATTTAGAGGCAACTTCTGAAGTTTACGACAATATTTCAAAAGCAAGACTTGTAAATTGTAGAGAGTTACCACTGTGTCAGGTAACCTTGTAATCCCAGAATTGGATAAATCAAGGTACCTCAAATGCTTTAGATCTCCAATGGAATCTGGTAGCTCATTTATCCCAATACTACACAAACGTAACTCATGCAAGCATTTTAACATTGGCAACAAATCATGCATCAAGTACTTCGTTACAAAGTGAAATTGTTGTGGCAAAAATTCTAAGAATGTTCGTAAGCATTTGGCATCATCAAAAGCTTTAAATTTTTTGATTCCATCAAAATGGCCAGCAACATAAGATGCATGGCGTGCTTTGTCCGAAATCTTGTTCTGCCTGCCACCCTCCAAATTATTTTCCAACCTAAAACATTTGTTCCCTGCAACATCTTGAGCCAAATCATTGATGAGGTCATGCATTATGAATTGTGATTTGTTACCACTTGACGGTTGAAAAAATGATCTTGACACCAATTCCTGAAAATACTTGCGGCCTAAATCTTCCATTTGGTCTCCACCGTTTGGTTGCTCAATTAAACCTTCAGCCATCCATAGCAAGACTAATTCCTCCTCCATGAATTCGCAGTCCTTTGGGATAATTGCACAGTAGGAAAAGCACCTCTTCAAATGGACAGGGAGATGAAGGTAGCTCAATTTCAATGCTGTGAGAATGCCACTTTCCTCATTCCATATATTGTTGTTTAGTATCTCTTTCCATTCATGTTCTTCTTGTTTACAACATAATAAGCTGCCAAGCGCCCTCGCTGCCAAGGGTAAGCCTCTGCACCTGTTCTCAACAATTTTCTTACCAATCGATACCAATTTTGGGCATTCCATGATATTTCTATTCTCAAATGCATGTTGGGCAAAGATTAACCAACAATCATCATGTGATAAGTTGTGCAAATTGTGATATTTATCCATTCCCATCTGCTTTGCAACACCTCTGTCTTGTGTTGTCACAATGATTTTACTTCCAGGTGCTCCAGCTGCAAATGGGGATTGTAACAAATTCCACCCATCACGTCCATAGTCCCACACATCATCTAGGACAAGCAAAAACTTTTTCCCTGCCAACGTTTTGCTAAGTTGAACTTGCACCTCATTTAAGTTACTAAAATTACATGAACCGTGAGTGAATGACTCGAGAATTGCCTTTGTTATTCTCATAATTTCAAAGTCATCAGAAACACAAACCCATGCTTTTAGATTGAAATGCTTTTCCACTTGGTCGTGATTGTAAATGTGTTGAGCTAGTGTAGTCTTGCCGATCCCACCCATTCCTACAATAGGAATTACATCAAACAAATTTCCAGTAGGTGCAAACCCAAGTAGCAATTCGATAATTTGCTTGATGTCTTCATCTCTGCCATGAATGTGAGGCTCCCTCAAACATGTAGTTTGTGATCTCTGCCGTAAATCTGTAGACATCCTCCCAACAAGTTTTTTATCTAAACCAAGATCTTTTCCTTTTGTAACAACTTTTTGTAATTGACTTGTAATCTCATTTAGCTTTGACCCAGTTTTTAAATTGAATGGAACAATAGAAGAGAGACGTGGAAACTTAGCTGGTCTTCTTCCCATCGTTGTCTCCTCCGCCATTAGTTTCCTTTTGAGAGCTTCAGTGGCAAAATCATCCAATAAGTCATCTGCATCATAAGCCAAAGGTTGAACCTCTTCTAGCCACTTTTTGATATCCTTGTCGTACACTTGTTTGTTCTCTGCATCAGCCAACAAAGTCTCTAAATCCTCTAATGCCTTCTTCAGATTCTGGATGCCAGTGCCAGCGTCGGCTGTGCTCACTAAGTTGCTAAAATAAGAGGACAATTTATCAACCATAGCTTGTACGAATGGAGAGATAAAGATCCCAAATACATCCATGGTGTTTGTTTTGAAAGAAGGAAAGGTAATGAAACCAAGCAACACAGATATCAAGAACAGACTGAAGAACCTCTACAAACTTGGAACAGATTTCGGTGGTAAAGGTGAGAAATTGAGTCAAAATGAAGCAATACACGGATCAAGAACAGGCAGAACCTCTACAAACTTGGAACAACTTTGGCAGATAAAATATATAAAAGGTACGAAACGAAGCAATACAGAGATCAAAAACAGAATCAAACTCTGCAAACTTCAAACAACTTTGGAATTGTGAAGGATCTGAAAAGTCAGAAACTCATCAAAAACAAACAGTTTGAAGAAGCTCTGCAAATGAGTAGTAGTTGAAGATTGTTAGTTGAGACCAAAAGCAAATGAGGAATTGGTGAAAGAAGAGGTATGAAGAAAAAATAAGTCAATAATAATAATGGAGTCTCATCTCATTGCTTCCTACTTTTCTCAATTTTGTTTAGTCGTGCAAGATGGTCAACACTACATGTTGATTGGTGGATGTGATTAGGAAAATATTGAAATAGAGAGAGAGGGGCCAGCCTTTTTTTATGAATAATGTTTAATATTAGGGATGACAATGGATAACCTATCATGTGAGTATCTATGGAGATCCAACCTAAATACATGGGTTTTTTTCTTTTTTTTTCTTATCCATTGGATAGGGTAAATGATATTCTTTAAATATACACAGGGGATGGGTTGGGGATGGGTACCCACTAATTTCCCTCTTTTTTTTTATTTTTTTTTTATTTTTATTTTTTTTTAAGATTCACAACCAAAACTAAATATACATTTAATCTTTTTTCTTTTATTTATTTATTTATTTTTTCAGGTTCACAACCAATTTTTTTTATTTTATTTTAAGATCCACAACCAAAGCTAAATATACATCCAATATTTTTTTTATTATTTTTTTTATTTTTAAGGTTCACAACCATTTTTTTTTTAATTTTTAAGATTCACAACCAAATCTAAATATACATTCAATCTTTTTTCTTTTCTTTTTTTTAATTTTTTTAATTTTTTTAAAGTTCACAACCATTTTTTTTTTTTAAAGATTCACAACCAAAGCTAAATATACATTCAATCTTATTTTATTTTATTTGGCTCAACAATAAAATCAAATACACATTAATTAACATTGTCACATTATTCTTGTCAAATTTTATGCATATCTAGAATTTTTTAAATTTATTTAAAAAAATTAAGGATACTGTCTAGTGCAGGTTTCGGTTTGCTTTTCTATGTTATTTTATTTTGTTATGTATTTTGGGGTCATCTTCCTCCTATGCATGCTTCATCCCTTCATGATTAAGGCTATGCATTAGAGCACTTGCATTGGCCATGGTTTGGCCTCTTAGCCACTGAAATCTAGTGGATTTTCAGTGACTTTGATGTGTCTTTGAGCTCCAAAATCATAGAGGGGTGACCCTCTCACCCCTCATTCTCTTTACTAGCATTGTTGGCCTT